GTAGTAGTTTTTACTCACCAGCACTTCCACTACAGTCGGTACCAGGGAGGCAAGGAGCCCAGGTGGAGCGTGAAGGACTTCAGAGCAGAAGCGGACAGCCCTGCGCAGGATCCGACGCAGCACCAGTCTGAAAGCAGAGCAGGATTCCCCGGGCAGCCACATGAGCATCCCTGCCCAGCTCCCACATCCAGCACACCCCAACACAGCTCCTCCGACCTCATCTATCGACACAATCCAGCTCCTCCCCACCATCTACAACCATCCAAGGATGAGCCTGCAGGCTGGAACCTCTTCCAGGCTCTCACCTTCCAGCCTCACCAAAGCTCATGGCACTTCCTATCTTGGGCCCACACCAGAACCTCTCCCTCTGGTTGCCCATATTCCTTTCTAGACCTAAGTTGCTCCACCCCATGCCATTTCCTTATGTCCTTACTCTGCTCCGGAGAAGCCTGGGTAGATGCCATCAGTGATGCACACACACAAGGTGCGTACGTGATCTGCCACCACACGGTAGGCCATATTCACACGCCCAACATCAGCATCCCCGACCAGACCCTGGTATCGGGGCCCCCCACAGCCCTGAAAGAAAAAGTAAGGAGACAGATCAGCAGAAATTAATGGCTGCAGAAGGCAAAGTTTCAATGCAAGAAGGCAGCCAGCTACCCTTGACATCATGATTCTCAACTACCTCTGAACCTTGTGCACCTAAGATACAATCATTAAATCCTTCCAGAGCATTATAGACCAAGACTTCTGTACCTAAGACAGGTCAGCTAATGACTTTGCATGGAGGAATTTAAGAAACTTTGGAGGAAAAATAGATCAGCAGTGCTGATATTCCAGTGGATTTCCAACCTGGAATTCTCCCCACTTTCCACAGAATGCTGCTCTGGACCTGGCTGGACATACTTCCTCTCTCAAAATCCTCCTCTCTTTGCCCCATCCCTGGAAGTGTTCAAGGCCAGGCTGGATGTGGCCTTGAGCAACCTGCTCTAGTAGGAGGTGTCCCTGCCCATGGCAGGGGGGTTGGAACTCGATGATCTTTGAGGTCCCTTCCAACCCAAACCATTCTATGATTCTATGATTCTAAAATACCGCACAGCGGTGTAGAGAAGGCTATACTATGGTACCAGGCAAGCAGTCTGCATTCAAGGAGCTTTTGCTTAGCCATGACTCTGAGCAGAAGCATCGTCACCTTGTGAATGGCATCCAAGATGGGAGTGAAGAGATCTGTGTCGTAGTTGGAGCGTTTGTTCTGCAGAATTGTCACCAGCCTTTCCAGGCCCATTCCTGTATCCACGTGGTGCTGCGGCAAGGGAAGCAGATTCCCCTCCACCTCTCTGAGAGCCAGCCAGGAAAAATAAAAGGCAAAAGAGAAGCAAGGGTCAGTTCAGGGGCAAAGAAACAGGAGAGTGACAGGGGATGGAAACAGCAAGTGACAACAAAAGGAAGCTCAGCGACAAGACTAACATCAGCCCACCCTGGCACTGTCAGGCAGCCAGGATCTGACCATCAGATAGTCAGGACTGACTGTAATGTAGGGAAAAAGGCATTCCCTGAACACGGGCCCAAGGCCTTCTCCTTCTTCCAGCAGATTTCTCCAGGCTGCTGCAGACCTCAAGAAACCTCCAGGGTACAGCAGTGAGGGAGAATAGGCAGCAGAGGTTGAAGGAGGACAGGACAAAGGGGCACAAGGGGCACACTGGACACATCTCCATAGCTTCCCTCTTGCTCCTATACTGCCACCTCCTGGAAAGCAGTGAGATGTCCGAGACTATACACGTTTGATTTTGGAGTCAGGAGAGGAGGAAAGCTCTTGAGTTCAGACCAGATGCCTGGTACCTGCTGTACTGCATGAAGACAAGGTTCCAGATCTCCACGACGTCAGGGCTGCCCTGGTTCACCAGTGCTGCAGCATTTCTGCCACCACCCACATGGTCATAGTGGATCTCTGTGCAGGGGCCACAGGGACCTGTGTCTCCCATCTCCCAGAAGTTGTCCTTCAATGGAAAAGGAAGCACGTGACTGGCAGGTACCCTGCAAAGACAAACAACAGAGGTGGCACCCCTGGGGCATGCACACAAAGCACACAGTAGCCTAGATCACACAGAAAGTTGGGAGGAATCCTTTCTGCCTACTACAAACTCATTCACCAAACACATCAGGATTCCTTTATTTCTGTTCACAGAGAATTACTCTCCTTAGGCGGAACAAGCTGGACCAAACCAGACAGGATCCTTCTCACTGCCCAGAATGGCTGGCAAACTCAGTCTGGCTCCTGCTGACAAATACAGGCTCCCCACTGGGTCTGTGGAGCCGCCTCCCTCATAGGAGGGAATTCCAGCAGAGCTAAGACCCAATCGCAGTGGACAAGGCTAAAGACCAACACAGGGCTGGCTGACTCGGGCTCAGAGCCCACAAACAGCACTCAACAAGTTCCCAAATCAGGAAAGTGCTCTTGGCAACAGCTTCATCCTCACACTGAAGCAGCCATTGTTAGCTCTCAGAAGAGAATGGATTCTCCGCAGCTCAAAACGGAGAGGAAGCAAAGGATCAGAGAACCTTCACACACTTCATCCAGGCGAGACAATCCTAGGTACACAGCCCCACAGGCTGCTAACATCTGAGAAACAGCTTAAAGGTCAAGTGCCCCAGAGCACTCAGAGCCCAGCTGACTTTTAACAGCCCAAACACACCAGAAATGAAATGAGTTTAGAAAACAACTTGTGGCCCCTATATCCGATTCCATGAACTAAAGGGCAAATGGGAGACTATGGTGACTGAGATGTCAGCACCTGCTGCCGAGAACCTCTTCTCTAGCACACTTACCCCAGGCGCAGCCACACATCCCTGCACTCCTCATCGGCACTCAGCCCCAGCGAGGAATCTCCACCAAAATAGGTGACGTAGAGACGATCTTTGGGGATCTCATAGACCTCTGTCAAGAGCTCCCAGGCCATGTTACACGCCTCCTCCTGAGCAGACAGGGAACATAAACGAAGCACAGTAATCCACGATGCACAGTGATGCAGGAAAGCTCTTCAGAATAGGAGTCAATCACCAAAGTTTATTTCAGCTATTCTCTCCCTTTCGAATTTTAAGGCTTATTGCAAAGAGAGGATGAGGGTGAGTCAGGTAAGTGAGACAGCTCACTAATGCCTGTGGAAAACTGACACTCCTAAATTGTTGAGACCCTCAGGATCGCAGCATGGTATACGCCCACATGCTTACCAGCAGTTACATGGATTATTTTCTTTCAAAGGGAAAAAAACCCACATTCTCTAGCAAAAGAACTAGTATCCTTTATCCTTTTTCCCTTTCCAAACTTTCTAGTTACAAGAATCAAATGAACTGGTAGCCTCTTTTCACCTTATTAAATAGTCAACACTGTCATTCCTGCAGAGAACTTTGGTACGTGTTGTTCACAGCTTTGAAAGGCTGAACAGTTTAAGAGTCTGCAGGGCACGTTTAGTGATCCAGCACACCAGCTGACTATCTCTGCTCCAGGCCACAGAGCTCCCAAGAACCAATTTGGAACTAACCAAGATGCCTTCTGCAGACAGTCCTGTGGTGCTACAGCACACCTCTGAAAGAAAGGCTGCACTTCCCCTTGGAGAGGGTTTGCTCCTGTCATCTCACCTTAAAATAATCCCCAAAGGACCAGTTCCCCAGCATCTCAAAGAAGGTGTGATGGTAAGTATCTCGGCCCACATCCTCCAAGTCGTTGTGCTTCCCTCCTGCACGCACGCACTTCTGGCTGTTCACCCCCCGCCGGTGCTGCGCCAGCTCGCTCCGGGGGTGCACCGTGCCCAGGAAAATGGGCTTGAACTAGAAATCGAGGCAGAGAGACACCCGCTATTGCTCGATGCCACCCAAGGCGTGGGGTGCCTGCGCCCGGGGCTCCCGAAAGGCAGACTGGGGAGGCGAACGGGAGGGCCGGGGGAGCACCGCCGGAGCGCCCGGGGAACGGGGTGACTCCGAGACGGGCCGCCCTCTTTCGAGGAGGCGCTGGGAAGCCGGTAGAGGGGATCTGCGGGGGCGGAGCCAGGCCGGTGGAAGCGGGGGTGGGGGGAGCACCTGGTTCATGCCCGCGTTGACGAAGAGAAGCCGCGGGTCGCCGCGGGGCCGTACAGGGGCGGAGGGCAGGCGGCGGTGGCCGTGGCGCTCCTGGAAGAAGCGGAGGAAGGCGGCGCGGACCTGCTCCGCCGACGGGCACCCGCTCCCCTCGCGGCGGGGGCTGCAGCGCCATCGCCACGGCACCGCCAGCAGCAGCCGCCGCCGCAGCCGGCCGGCCGCCGCCATGCTGGCCGGGGGCGGAAGTGGGGTGGCGGCTTCCGGCAAGGGGCGGGGCGGGGCGAAGGGCAGGTGGTCGGAGGAGCTGCCAGGGTCGGAGAGGGCTCGGCGCAGCGCCCGGCTCCTCCTGCGCATGAGCAGCGCCTCCCCATGCTCGGGGTTTGATTAGCTGGGCTGTTGAGCGTTGCTCGTCTCGCGAGAGTGCCGGTGCCGCCGCAGCGATTGCTCCCGCCTGTGGCGGCGGCCGGGCACCATGGCGGCGCGGGGGGGCTTGGCCTGGTGCCTCCGCCGCCTCGGGGCCAGCAGCGACTGGCTCCTGCTGGAGGCCGGCACACAGGTGAGGGGGCCGGGCCGGGACCTTCGCCGCCTCAGCCCCCTCGCGGGGGGCGGCCTCCCGGCGCCCTGTGAAGGACCGTGCTGTGCGGCTGCCGGTGCGCTTTGTGCCGCGGCCTCCGCGCTCCCCCGGGCGCTCCTCGGCAGGGAGGAGAAGCCCCGTCTCGGTTAACGAGCGGCGGTCGTTAGTGGGAGGAGCTGGCCGTTCGCCCCGGTGCAAGGCCCGTTTCCCCCGGAGGGTGGCTCGGCGGAGCGTTGCCGCGGGCAGGGAGGGAGGAACGGAGGGAGGGAGAGTGACCGGGAGGGACCGATGTGCCGAGGCTCCCGCCGTTTATCGCTTAATGCGATCTGGTATTTACGTAGGAGCTGTTGGTGTGAGCGGTGGTGGGAAATCCTTAGCCTAACGAGCGGGGTGATGCTTTGGTGAGGTTAATGGTGTATCAGGTATGTTGGGGTTTGTGGCTTGAGTGACTCGGGTGTAAACGCGGTGGTGTTCGACGTCTGCTCCGGTTGTGTTTCGGTGTGATACAGGAATAGCCCTTTCTCAGTGATCCTGGTTTTGTATTGAAAAGCCTCAATGGGTCCTTATGCCCTATCCCTTAGTCCCAGCAGGCAAACACCTCTGTGGAGGTTGGGGTCCTGTCAAGGGGTTGCTGCTCCAGTGGTCGGCGATGGGCAGTTGGGTGTTGTGGGTTCCTCCTGTGCCCAATCCTTTTGTGCTGACGCATTGCAAAAGGTACCACTCTCATCTTGCAATGCCAGGCAGCTCTTCAAGCAAATCTGGAGTTTTGTTACTCTCCCATCATGGATCTGAGGCCAGGAGGTGCGCAGGTTGAGATGCTCAGTGAAGGGCTTGAGGTAATGCACCTGCAAAACAGGGCTCTGCTAATTGTGCAGAGAATCTTGCTCAAGGTGTTACTGCTCCGATTGTCTGCACAGCGCTACAGTCCTTGTTGCAGGCAGCAGGGAGGCTGATGGCATCCTGGTACTGCAGGTTTGCCCGGCCACAGCCTAGCATAGCAGCATGGGCTGCTTTCACTGGGGCTTTAAATGTCCACGCCAGACTGCACTGCTGAGGCCTGGAGATGTGCCAGGGTCTGCCAGGACTGCTGTGGGCAGCAGCCAGCTCCAGCTGGCAAGTGGTCACCTCTCGGCCCCCTGTCCCAGTTTGCTCAGTGAAGTTGATCAAGGGGAAGTTTTGTGAGTGGCCCTACTTGGTCTCACTCTTCTAGTGCATGAGGGCACGCACTGGGCACCAATAACAGTTCACATGGGTTCTCCCTTTGCAGGGAGAAGTGCAAAGTTGAATTGATAGCTGAGTCTGCCTGTACTTCTTACGTATGCAATGCCTGTTGATAGAATACTAATATGTATGAAGCATTGAAGAGGTAGGAACCAAATGTGGTTAAATTTGCTTCCTTGCATTTAGTTGACACAGGAGTCTTTAAACTCATGGTGAGACCTGCTCAGGTAATGTGTAGTCAATGAACTTTTCTTGACGGTGGTATCTTTCCATCTTGGAAAGGTGGAAAGTTCCTACATCCATCCTACACCGTGGAAGGTGTAGCTCAAATGAGTTGGGATTGCAGGGGAAAAGGACAGCCTTCATCCAAGGCATAGAAACTAGACTGCACTTCTATAATATTCTTCACCTGATTTAACTGTGGTCTTCTGCCAAAAGGTGTTTGTCCTGCTTTTTCTGGCTGTGTGTTCCTGCTGTATTACATCGGATCCAAGCAGTTGTCTAAAGGTGTGATAAGCTGACTGAAAACTTGTGCAACACACAGATGAATAAGAAAAGTGTGTATGATTATCAGATCTCGCAAAGGAAGCAGTGAAGGGGAGAGAGCAGAGCCATGCTTTAAATGGCAGTCTGCAATTAGATAAGATTTAATAAGGTACTGTGAAACAGTACAATTAAATTATGTCCCTTTTTCCAGAAGATGCTATTAGATTCTAATTGGATTATTTAGATCACTTTCGCGATTAGTTATGAACTGCATGGAGCTTAGTTTCTGAGCCGTAAGATTGATGGTGTGATTTACAAATGTATCGTGCATTTTGGGCACGGCTAAGTGCTCGGGTTTTTTCCTGCATCTTGTTCACAGACAGTTGAACAGATGTAACTAATGAAAGAAGAGAGTAAGAAGTAATCTTGAGACCCACAAATAATTGTACTGGTTTGAAGAAATGATGTTTAGTTAGGTAATTGCTAAGGTGGGACATGGATGGATTGAGAGTGGATTTGAGCAGCTCTGCTGCTGAGGAAGTTTTCTATGAAAACAAGGCTGTAACCTGCCTTAGAGCAATCAAATTTTCCTCAATGGGAGAGAAAGAGAATACTCAAAACTTTGTAGGTTCCCGTTTGCTATCCATTCTTGAATTTAAAAGCAAAAAAAAAAGTTAATCATATTATCACAAATTCTTGGGAAGTAGCTCTAAGATGCTGTACTTAAATTGAAATGATATAAACTGAATTAACCATGTTGTTGCTGACTGCAGTTACTAAACTCCTTTATTTTTAGGTAACTATAGGCCGAGGATTGGATCTCACGTACCAGCTGGTGTCAAAAACCTGTCCCTTGATGATCTCTCGTAAGCACTGTGTTTTCCAGCAAAATGCAGAAGGGCAGTGGACTGTCAAGGATAACAAGGTACAGAGACTGATTAAAGACTTTGTACTCTGAGATTCACTGAAGCAAATGCCCTGTTTGGACTCAACAGGCCATGATATAATATGGTATAAATGTGACAGAAGGTCCATGGGAATGTGTCTTGCCTGTTGTGTGCTTCCATGAGGAAGCTTCAGTCTGCTGCAACTGGGATGAAACCGTATTGCCTTCTGTATGTAGATTTGTGTCTTGGTTTAGCATTTTTCAGACAACTGTAGTCTCCCCAAGGGCACTTTGCAGTCTGAGAACCTGTTTTATGTTGCTTTCTTAAATAATAAAATTCCTATGAATTTTGGCAGTATTCAAAAGGATGATGTTCTTATCCTGCTAATGAAAGGATAAACTGGTACTCCTTATTGCAGTGACACAATTGCTTTAATTATAATCAACTACACCAAGAATCTGTTGTTGGAAAAAACATGCTTAATGTTTTGTTCAAACAGGTTTCTTCTGAAAGTCTTCCTCAGCTGATTAGAATAGAATACTGACATCAGAGTCCTCAGCTAGGTCTCACTTTGACTTCAGAAATGTGGAATTTTTTTTATATCATGATCTCTCCACTTTCTCATTCAGGCTAAAAACCTGAATGTTACTGTAAAATCAGTAACTTGCTTTAAAACAGCACTGGTAGAACAAAAAATGTTCAACATGTCATGCAGATTTGAAGGATGTTTGGGCCAACAGCAGATTAGTCAGAAAGGAATGGAGAGGCTACTATTAAAATTACAATGGTCTTAACGATACTCTGTTGCAGAACTTGTATACACTTGAAAAACTTAAGGGTTCTTGCATGATTGGAAACAACTATGGTGTATTAGCTGCTAACAATTCCTCTCAGTTGTCACTGCTACCAGTTTTTGAAGTTGTTTTATTGAATCGCTTTGAGACACATCAGTTAATAATTCTGCAGTTCACCTTGATCAGTTTTGCTGTTTTTTAAAACTATATCATGAGCTAGTGCCTTTTCAAACCCCTTGTTCTGCTTTGAACATTATCTCTAGAAGAATATTTTCCTTGTTTATATTCTCCTTGTATTTATGGAGAACTGTCTCTAAAAGTTAAGAATAATTACTGCAAAATTGTATGTTCTTTACAGTGATCTATTGCAGGGTCTTTTCTTTCTGTTAGTTCTTATTTCTTCTGAAGCTTTTGGGCAGTTTTTTCCCCCTTAGAGTTCATTCTTGTCCTTCTGCACAAGTATATATATTAATGTTTTTCCTACTGCTTGTACACAAAATCTGTAATGCAGGAATAATGTAAGGTAAATAATGTAATGCAGTAACTGTAATAAATGGGACACCAAGCCAATAAATTGGATATTGCAAGGTTTATTTAAAGAGATGGCTTGGTCTCATTGCCACACCGAAGAGGTTGGATATGTTTACAGTTGCCAGGAATAACTTGCAGAGGATTCTGTAACTGCATATTAAATTTTGCTGGTTCTCTGTTCATTTGCAGAGTCTAAATGGAGTATGGCTTAATAAACAACGCCTGGATCCCTCAAAAGCCTATCCTATCACTGAAGGAGACCGTATTCAGTTGGGAGTGCCTTTGGAAAACAAAGAGACTGCTGAATATGAGTATGAAGTAATTAAGGAGGAATGGGAGAAAATCAGACCCTTTTTAGCCCAAAGGAGTGACCTGGGAAAAGCTAAGAGTTCAAGAACTAAACGTAAATTTAGTTTGGAGGAATCAGAGACATCTGGATCAGAAGGCCCTTCAAACTCCAGATCCAAAAGAGACAGAGTGTCCTGTGGCAATGAAACTCTGGGTGAATCATGGGGAAAGGTAGAAGAGGCCAAACAGTTAACAGGGAAGATGCATGTCAAGCTGCCTTCTCCTGGACCAAGTGAGCAGGGTAGTGGTCCAGTGCATAGTAGCCCTGTGTCCTCCGAGAAAGCTGTGTCTGTCACCCATAAGGACCAGAAAAGCTCTGGTCTTGAAGAGTCGTGGACTGGCTTGGAAATGCTGAGGAAAACTCTAGTAGACATAATGAAGTTGAAGGTGAAAGTGCAGGAAAAGCAGACAGCAGTTCTGAATGTGAAGCAGAAGCGCAGGAAGTGTGCTCAGAAGGAGATCCTGGCAATGGAGCAGGAGCTGCAGGAGTTGCAGGACCAGCTGTGCATGGAACAAGAGCATCAGCAGCAGCAGGTGGAAGAGCTGGAGAGGACATTCTCTAAAGAGCAGCAGAAGCTAGAGGTATAATGAGATAAACTTTTTGACCTAATTTTTTTACAAACAGGTTCATTACAGCAAGATAGTAAATAATTTCAGTGAGTAAAAAAGCGCATTTTAGTTTTAAAAAAAGCTATTTTTTTTATTAAAAATTAAAATAAAAAAAAATTTAATCAAAAAAACCCCACAAGTCTCTGTCTGATCTTCTGTGATTACAGAGAGGACAAGTTGAAAAGTATTCACTGTAAGTGTGAATTTCTCTCTACTATATGGCTAAATTAATGCCCAGTTACATGATAAATCCATTCCCTTTCCAAGCAAGTCAACTATTGGATGCCTTGATTCCTGCAGGGAAGGAGACTTTTTCATACTTTCAAAAAAAACTTTTCTTGCAATCTGTAAGTGTCTTCAAGCAGTAGGTTGATAAGTAGCTTTTTTAGATAACAAACTGAAGTCTTTCTATTTAAGTTTGCTCAAAATCTGGTTTAAAGGAAGTAAGAATTCATCTTGGAATGAGTTTTATGATTTATCAGCCACTTCCTTTAAAGTGTGCTGCTAAAGGTGAGAGACCTCTATCAGAAGTACAGAAAGTCTGCAGTTGTGTGCATGGGGCACATGGGGAAGTTCAGCTGGAGCTGTAGGTATCTCTGGCATCTTTGAATGTGCTTAAAGATAGAGTTGCAGGTTTTTTTATGTTTGAGTTGTTGCTGACCTCTTTGCTGCTATGAATGTGCTGGTTCCTTCACAGCTGGAATAACATGTAGGTGTTCCAAGTATGTAACTGTAAATGATATATCTATTTTAACTCTTCACAGTAAATGATGGCTCTAATTTCTGTTGTACCCATGTAACACTAGAGTGGGACATCTCAGGATTTCCTGAAAACCAGTGTTGTTTCTTTAAGCATATCCTATAAAGAGACTGTGCAAAGTCGTAACTTTCTGTCCCTTGCTTTCTTAATGTCTTTTTTTGTTTGTTTGCTTTTCCTTTCCTCTAAGAGTTTTCCTCCAGCAAAAAGGTCTTACTTTGTTGTGGTTTGGGTTATTTTTTTTCCCTCAGGGAGCAAACTGGCAACACGGGGAAGAGAATCTGAAGGAGCAACTGGCCCAGGTCCTGCAAGAGGCAAGTAGTTATGAGTCTGGATTTGGTCTAACTGTGAATCTCAGATATTTAAGTATCTTAGTGCTGTGGCCTCTTGGTACAATTCTAGGACTTTGCCTCCGGTGCAGATTTTCATCTACAGACCAAATTTCTGTTAGAAAGTGGCAGACCTCCCTTTGTTGGAGCGACTATTTCCCAGCAGATATTGTGAGAATATGCATTCAGATTGAAAGCATTAAATAGCTGCAGTGATTTTTACTTGAATTTGGTCCTTGGGCTGGTGGGCTTTTTTGCGAGGTGGGTCTGCTAGGTATCTGTTTTGGGGAAGTTGTTTTGGCAATTATAACCGTATGAAAAACATTTTCACTCTTGTTTAGGAATGTTTTTGTAAGAGATTGCCACACGCTTAGGTTCCCTAGGCTTTTTCCAAAAGGTCTTTGCTTTTGGAAAGCTGATCTGAAAACAGCTTCAGGTAACCCTGCATTTAGTGGCAGGTTTTTATGATCCTTATGTGTCAAATACCCCTTAATACTCAAATGTCTCTCACTCAAAATGGTGACTGTAAAACCTAACTGAAGTGAAAGAGTAACCTGGGAGAGAGCATGAGAAGTGCCATGACGCTGGGAAGGTCATAAATAACTGGCACTACATTCCAATTGTAAGGCTAAACTGCCTTAACACTCCAATTTATATAGACATGTGTTGCTTTTTTAGGAGGAGATTAGGAGAAATGAGTATGCTGAACCTTGTCATTACAGCCATGTATATTTAATAAGATAGCTGCTAATGGCACTTGTAATTTCTGTGATGATACTGTTACAGCATCATGCTTTGATGGAAGAACTGAGCCGTAGTAAAAAAGATTTTGAGGAGATAATTCGAGCCAAGAATAAAGAACTGGAAGAAACCAAGGTAAGGTATAACTGAATTCTTAGTTTTATTCATAAGTGAAACATGATATACTGCAGCAGAGGGAATGGTTAATTTATCATTTGCCTTGACTGTACTGTGCCTCCTGTACTGAAAAACTCCTGCCTTTTGAGGTGGCAGCTGACTCTAGTCTCCAGGACTGGGGGAGGGAGGGTACACCTTGCCCCCTTTATAAAGTAGTATTGAGCAGTCATTACTAGATCTTTCTCAATCATAAAGAAAGCCCAGGGTACCTGAACTGTGTGTTGTGCAGAAGTGGGCCCATTCCACAAAGAAGAGTAATGTGTTTGAAAAGTGAGGTGCTTCATTTTCAGTTAGAGTGCATTTGGGTAGAACTGCAGTGTTCCAGCAGCCCTACAAGAGAGCGTAGGACTGAAACAACATGGAATTTGAATAACGAATGAGATAAGCCACATTTCTTCCTGCCCTTGACACAAGGTGATGAGTGGAAAAATAATTAAGGAGATCTTGCCCTGTGTCTTAGTCCTGGAAACTGGAACATTATCCACCTCTGGCTGGTTGCTTATGGTTCGTTTTATATGTTGTCTTTGCAACTTGCTTGCTCTTTCAAGTATAGCTTCAATTGGAAGAATTTCTCTGTTATTTTTAGAAAAAAGAGGTGGTACCTAGGAGCCTAATTTAACTCCAAATAAAAAAAATTGGGCAGTTAAATGCAAGTAAATGTTTTAAATTCTTATGATTCCTTTTTTAAGTATTTGAGGTATTTTGTTGGGTGTTTTGCTCTTTACATCAAAGGACTGTTCTGTTGGCTTAAGCCAAACTCATTCCATGAAGGGGGGTTGAAAGAGATTCTGAAAAGATTGATCCAGCTGGTGGTTTCTTTAGGCTGAAGGCAATTTTTGGTAATGGCTGCTGTTCTTGCCTGTTAAGTTCTCTCTGGTGCGTAGGAATATTCTCAATAGTGCCGTGACTACAAAGCGGAGAGAGGTTGCAGGTCTGGGTACGTCATAGACACAGACACGACATGTGGAGACTTGCAGTTTTATGATTTTCCACATGTACTACTTTCCCCTGCACATGTACTTCCTGCCAATATTGTATCGAGTAAAACCTTGTTCTTTGTTGATACATAACCATGTGTACTTTCCCATTAGGAGGAGAAGGAAAAGGTGAGAGCCCAAAAAGAAGAGGTGTTGAATCAGATGAATGACGTGTTGGAGAATGAGTTGCAGTGCACGATCTGTTCTGAGCACTTTATTGAGGTATGTTTAAACCGGTATTGGTTTACTAGTAAAGAAAAGACTTGAGAAGCTTTCACTAGTTCTATTAAATGAAGCTTATTTCTTTGCTTTGCTAGTTTAACAGTTTCAGCAGTGAGTTCTGGATAAGGGCTGATTCTGTCTGACCCATTCTGTCTGTCCTAACCCTTCTGGGCAGCAACTTCAGCTTTAATGTCCCTACCTGCATAGAGATGAGTGCTTAATCCTAAAATGCATAGAGGCTTGCAGCAGTTTTGGGTGGTTTTGCACTGCAGCTCTGAGCTGCTGCTGATGGCCTGCTTGGGGAAGAATCATTTTATAGTGGACCTTGCTTTAAGTCGATGAGGATTGGACTGCTTCAGGTTTAGATATAGGAAGAGGTTAGCAAAGGAGGGGAGGTGCAGGGAGGTGTAGTGTTCACTCAAGTCCTTAACTGTTTATATCATTCAGATAAATTTTTTTTGAAAAGGAAAAACTGACCTGCTTCCATTTGATCCTAGAATTAGTAGGTAGGCAGGCTGTGTCTGAAATGCAGAGTGTTACACTGTTTGTGTTTTGCTAGAACTTCAGTTTCATTACAGTCATTACTACTACCTGATATGTTAACCTTGCTATAATGACTTAAGACCTAGCTGAAGCTTTAATTTCTGGTTTCTTAGTGATTTAAGATGCTATTCTGTAGTATTGGAGTTTTCCCATAATTTAATTGTTTTCAAATTGGAGAAATTATAACAGAGTTAATTCTTTCTGTGTTTCTGACTTGCTATGATCTCCACTGAATCCATTAACCAACTTGTAAAACTTGTCTGCACTCTGGCATGAGAGAGTTATTTTATGTGTAACCCCTACAAAGGCTAAAGACAGTGGCTTCGGGCTTCCTCCTCTTCCCTTATAGGAAATGTTCATCTACCTTTGTTCTGACTTCAGTGGGTTTTTTTTTTTTTTTGGACAATGCCTGTGTGAGCACGCACTGATATGTATTCTTCCCTCAAATTCCACAGGCAGTCACTCTGAACTGTGCACACAGCTTCTGTTCCTACTGTATCGATGAGTGGACGAAACGTAAAGTGGAGTGCCCTATCTGCAGGCAGGAGATCAAATCAAAGACACGCTCTCTGGTGCTGGATAACTGCATCGACAGGATGGTAGAAAAACTGGATGTGGCAACGAAAGAGCATCGCCTGACCCTTATCAGAGAGCGGAAAGGTGAGAGGTGGGTGGATGTGGCATGATGAGTACAATCTCTCATTCCATCTATTTTGTACAACTTTCTTTGGCACCTATATACCAAGGAGATGCTCAAGGAATGCAGCATAAACACTAGAAAATTTAATTTTAAGGTATTTTGTGTAACTAGCTTTACTGCACATTAAAAATATAATAAAATTAATAAAAAGTTTGGAAAAATAGGTCAGTTTGAATTGCCCAGTCAAGCAGGACAGCTTAACCATACTAAAGGTTATGCTATTTCAGAGAGATCAATAAATAAAAGCAAAATTATAGAGAATGGACCTTGAAAACTTTACCAGGCACCTTTTGATTAAGCTATTGACCACATTATTGCAAAAACTCTGCAGAGGAGTGCCTGACAAGAAACTGAATCCTCGACTGTGTAGGAGATCTCTGAAGGGAATGTCAATGTGTCGTGTAAGTGTGTAGCTGAACTGGGAATTGACCACTGTGATTTAAATGCATAACCTCTTGCCTAGTTGTAGCTTGAAGACTGTGCGTGCTGGTGATGCCTTTAATTAAACTCCAGTATGGAGCATTTCTGTTCTGCTTCCCTTTTACAAATTTGTTTCTAGAGCACATGACACTGGTATCTAGGTGCGGAAATGTAGAAGTCTCTTCCTGCTACCCCTTAACAAATTTCTGTTGCTGTGTTCCCTTAAGTAATTTTCTTGTTTTCCTCTTGTAGAGGCGAATGCATATTCCTTCGTTTTGCAATGTGTGAAGCCTTTTACCTAATGAAAGGTGGTTTTGGAACATTTCAGATTCTCCATGATGATATAGAGTGACATCACTAAGCAGTATTAGTTCACATCTGAAATTGTCACTTACTTAACCTATTCAGTCTCATTCCCTCAGGAAGTTGCTCAGAGGCTGCCCAACTCGGCTTCGTGAGTTGCTGTCACCTCTGCAGAACTGATGCTGCTCTTGTGCAATACCCGAATCTGCAGGGTATGCCATAGTACTAGTGAACTGTGGTAGCTAATGGTGATGGGATGAAGTGGTGCTTTTGTTGGAGCCCACTTCGCTTCTGTGTGGTAAACCAGTGGTCTTTGTGCTTGTTTGAACAAAAAAGAAAAAAGCTCATAGCCTACCTTCACATGTGACAGATGCTCTAATTATTTAAAATTATTATTAGTTAGTAGGAAATAGTTTAGCTTCACCATGACACATTTCAGGAGGACGGATGAATTGTTTCTGTGTGGTCTTTTTATTCAATGATGGAAGATCTTGATTGAGATGAAGATAACCATGTAATGTGAGTTCCATAAGAAATGGGCTGAAAGAAAAGTAATGGTGCAAGTGGCACTTGGGAATTTCAGTCAGAGCTTCCCAAGAAGCCTTTCCAAGAGCCTTAGTATAACAGGCACCAATAGGACAGCTCGCGCTCTTAAGTGTATGGAGGTTTTGACCATTCAGGGGCCATAAGCGTCCTGAGCAACTGTTGTTTGAGGGCTCCTTACCACATTTTGTTCCTTCCCTCTTTCTTACCTGGCAAGGCAAGCACACAACAGCCACTTCCATTGCCAGTTGTATGTCAGTGATGGGATGGAGAATGTCTCCTTCTCATCTGTGCTATCTTAACAGGAAAAGGCATAAAGGAAACTTAAGAAAACAAACCAAAAAAGCCCTTTGATCTTTCAGAGCTGAAAACTGAAAGGAAGAAGGCTTATGCCCCGCAGCTTGACAGACCTATTGCAAACTGACAGTGAGAGGCTATGTTTCAAAGAGAACTAGTAATTTAGCAGCCTTTGTGGCAACAGTGGTCACTGCTAACTTTTGTGTCTGTGTATTCTGAATGCAGAGAAACAGAATGCGTTGGTGAAACCAGCCATGGACAATGATGGCAGCGTCGTTTCTTCCATCTCCTCCGTCTTTTTGATGAGCCGTTGTGACAGTGAGGACTCTGAGGAGGATTCTTACTATAATGAAAGCTACTACATTATCTAAAAACTATTACTGCAGACTTGTTTGCCTGTGTGCTGCTCAGAACAACCTAATGGTGTTTGGTTGACTACTGCTGGATGAGTGGACTGGACATCTAAGGGATTCTATGAAGAGGCTGGAGCTGAAAACTAGCAGCATTTGGAAAAGACCTTATTTTTTAAATGAATGTACAGAAGCTTGATCTCTAAAAGAAAACTGGGATCGTGAGAGAACCGTCATTTTGCTGGATAGCTGACATACAAAACCCAGGCTTCCATGATCGCTTGTGACCTATTTGGTGTAATGTAATAGTTTGTATGCACTGCTGCCCTTTCCCTAGTGAATGACATGTTTAAATGTGTACATCAGCTTCCCTTATTTCAGGCAGCAGAGGGAATGGCCCAAGCTATTTGAGAACTTGGCCATCCTCACCAGCAGGCAAGAGAAATGTATCAGCAAAAAGTGCCAATGTGGGTTTTCCTCTTTTCATATGGCAGCTAGGGTTGTTTGTCCCAGGCCTCTGGCAGTAAAGGAAAGGGTAGGTTATGGCCTCTGCCAGCTGAAGTGCATTGTAATCAGAGCTGCTGGCCATCCTTTTGCTCCTTTGATGTTACTCATTTTGTGTTAGATAGGGATGGAGAAGATTAAATCTTCCAGAATTCCTTAGCTAGTGCTCTTTTCATATAGTATGTTTGCTTTGTTCCCTCTTCAGGCTTTTGCATAATGGGTTTTAGAATTCAGAAGCAGCGCATCCAGAAGGTACTAGCAATGACTTCAGAAACACGTGTAGCAGCAGAGAGGAACCTCAGCCTCTTCAGAAATGCTGCTATCTGAATTGGCAGGGTAGGAAAGCAGCATCTGTAGGCAACTACAAGGCACAGAAGGAAGCATTCAGTTTTATTGTTTACAAAACATTGCTGTTGAGCCGTGGGTTGTACTACCTCACAGCAAATCACTTATCCCGAAGAGACTGAGCAAGTCTTGCCTTGTCCTATCATGACTTTGTCTATGAAGTTCCATGTTCAGTAGCGTATACTTTTGACTTAGCTGTTACATGGAAAGGACTGTTTTACACTGTGAGAAGAGGATGGGGGAAGGCCTTCTTATCCGTAATATTTCTTCAGCTATTTGTATGTACTTTCTGTGTTTATTTTGTTTAAGAAGAAAAATATAAACCCATTTCTTTAGTCTTCCTTGGTGCAACAACTGATAGGAATATCTTTCTCCTAGTTTTCTTTGATTTTTATTTTTTGAGAAAACACAGACTATCTCATTTTCATGACTTTGCTTCATGTTTTAATTGCTCTAAGTAGTGTGACTATTTTAAAGTTCTTTGAAAGACTTGTGTATTCAGGAATTGATAAAGACAACCCAACTCTTAAGCCTGTGGTTACCCTAACAGTAATTTAGTAGATGCAATTGTACCTCTTACATTCTTCCACTAAAGAAAGATCCCATTAAAGAGGTGCATGAATGATGATGCTGTGGTAAGGAAGCAGTGCATTCTGACAGATTTGATTGGTAGGACTTAAACAAGGGAGGTAGGTCTGATCTGTGGGCCAGGCAACTTTCTTAACATCTTAGTGTAAGGTTTCTTTTGTGAAAGAGACTCAACTCAAACATCTTGAGTTTTCTTCTATTCTTTTTAATATTAATTTTCTGTGTATGATCATAAAAGTTTCTTTTGTGAATATATGTTCTCTAGGATGTCTGAGAGAAGAGGGTTCCTCAAAACACTTGTGAAATAAGCTGATGTTGGAACAGGCATTCCTGATGAAGAGGAGTAGGAGGAAAATACTCTGGCTAGCTAGGACTGCAAATTCTTCTATTGTGTATCTCTTCCATGTTGCTGTGCTTTTTTTGCTTTTTTCATTTTGCTAAATATATTTATTTTGTTATGTTGGTGTTTATGCATATTGCAGAGAAGGATAATGCTTCTCCTAGTAACAGAGTAATTCTTCAGTGTGATTTCTGTGCGTGTCCTCTTTTCACTAGAATATGAAGAACATAAGCAGTATACCAAACCTTTTCCACTCTTACGGGTAGGTGCATAGTGTGTAAAGGTTGCGGAGAGAGGTTAAGTAATAATACTGTTCACTTGCAAAAGCCTTTCACTGACACAAGCAGAGCTCAGCTCCCAGTTCACTAAGTTCCTCAGTAAAACTACTGTCAGATACAGAGCTGATGACTAGACATCAGCTTATGCAAAAGATGTCCGTATTTCCAATACTGTGCTCTCCTTTGGTCTGAGGTCTGGATCCTTCCTTCTACTTGATTGTACGTCTCAACATCTCCTTGGAGATGTCATGTAGTGTGATAATCAAAAATTTTCAGAGTAAGATATTGTTTATCAACATCAGCAGGAGTAACTGGGAAGGAGTGCTAATGGGTTGCAGAACAGGACCATGACAGAGGCATGCTGTGCTGTTTAACTCCTGCAGATCTGTTGATGCCAAGATCAGTCTGACAGTTGCTTTTCTCTTGCATGTGTAGTCTACCATGTTAGTGCTTGGTGAGCCTTAGCAACAGATGTCATTTAACTTTGCAAAAGATGTAACGTGCACTTTAATAATCCAGCTGTCCCCCCACTCAATGTGGGGTTTTGATTTTTTTTTTTTCAAAGACAGCCTCTGACTAGTCAATGTTTTGCTTCCTGCTCATAGTCCTTCCCTCCTGCCACTTCCTTTTGCCATAATGTCATATATTTCGATGCATACTCTACAGCGACTAGATAAATCATGCACTATGCTTCCCAAATAGTATACTCCTGTCCCTTGGTGCTACCACGTTTATTTTTTAAGATTAAACATTCCTGCCTGTGTACTAAGCTGTCTGCCCCCGGGTTTCAAGCTTAATGCGAAGTACAAGATAGCTCCAATTAACATTTGAAAATGATTGACAAATGATCTGTATACATGTATTAGGCTTTTATTTTGTGAAAAGCTCTTTCATCACTGGCCTTACAAAACCTGCTCTGGCTCTGCCCAAGGAACAGAGCTGTAGTTAGTTACTGGTGAAGCGCCTGGTTGGTGAGCAGGCTATAGGCTTCTCCATAGGAAACCTGCAGTGCCACCACGCATAGTGACATCTCCAGCCAGCGTGTCAGGGCAGGGCTGCCCATGGTCACCCCCACAGTTGGAGAGCTGCTAAAAGGTTGTCTCCTTCAGAAGCGTGAAAAAAGCTGTTTTTCTAAGAAAGTACTGCTTTTAAGGCAGTGGTTGAATTATCTGTGCATTAACACACTTTATATACTTTTTTTTTAATGAGCTTTCTATACCTTTTTATACACTTTATACATGTTTTTATAAACAATATATTTACAAAAATTATATGTGGATATATAACATTTCACGTAGAATTTCAACATATTTTCACCCATGTGCACCCCTACCTCACCTCCCAGTGGAGGTGTGTGAGCACAATTTATATACGTTTTTATACACTATATACATTTTTATACACAATATATTTACAAAAAGCATGTATATATATACACGTAACAATTTACTTAGAATTTCAATATATTTTCACCCCTGTTCACCCCTATCTCACCTCCTTGTGGAGGTGTGTGAGCACAGTTTATATATATTTTTATACACACTCTATTTGCAAAGAGTATAGTATATAACATTTTACATAGAATTTCAATATATTTTCACCCCGTACACCCCCACCTTACCTCCCAGTGCAGGTGTGTGAACACAGTTTATATATATATATATTTTTATACACAACCTACTTACAAAAAGTCTGTGCGTGTGTATATATATAACATTTCACATGGAATTTCAATATATTTTCACCCCTGTGCACCCCTGAGGTGTGTGAACACAATTTACATATATATTTTTATACACAATCTACTTACAAAAAGTGCATGTGTGTATATATATAATATTTTACAAAGAATTTCAATATCTTTTCACCCCTGTGCGCCCCCACCTCACCTCCGGGTGGAGGTGTGTGAACACAATTTGTATACATTTGCATACACGCTATATTTACAAAAAGTGTGTGTATATATATAAAATTTTAGGTAGGATTTCAATATATTTTCATGCCTATGCACCCCTGACTTCACATCCACCGGGACGGACTGAGGCCGCCGCTTACCTGCTTCCCCACCGCGGCGGCTCCTGAGGCCGGTGCCCTCGCCGCGGGCAGGGCAGAGCCGCTAGGCCGGGGCCTAGGCCCGCCGCCATGCCACCGCCGTTGCCTAGCGACCGGGAGGCGGGGTTACTTCCGGGTTGAGGCGGCGGGCGGGCGGGCGCGCGCGTCACTGCCGCGCGCCGGCGGGCTGAGGGAGGACCCGCGGGCCCGGGGGGCGGCGACAGCGGCGGCTCCCAGCCGGGAAACGAAACCGGCAGCGGAGCAAGAACGGGCCCTCGGGAGACGGGCCGAGCAACACGCCTGTCCCCCGTTCCGCCGCCTCCTCCTGCCGTGAGTGTTACTCCATCTGAGGGGGGCCCGGCCCGCGGCTGGCCCGGCC